GTAGGTGTTAGTGAGTAGAATGGAAGAGGAGTCTTTAATGGAGTAGAGTGGAGGTGTTAGTGGAGTAGAGTAAAGGAGTTATTGGAGTAGAGTAAAGGAGTTATTGGGTAAATAAAGGAGGAGTGTTTGGCGCTGAAACAACCGTGACCCATATCACTATATTTAGTAGCTTAACCTTGTACTGCTGTCTCCCTCCCTGGTGCTGTTACGACCCATATAGTGACGGTACATTGGTGATGGTGACGGTACAGGTGGTGATGGTGACGGTACAGGTGGTGATGGTGACGGTACAGGTGGTGATGGACGGTACAGGTGGTGATGGTGACGGCTGTGATGGTGACGGTACAGGTGGTGATGGTGGGTACAGGTGGTGATGGTGACGGTACGAGTGGTGATGGTGACGGTACAGGTGTGATGGTGACGGTACAGGTGGTGATGGTGAGGTGACGGTACAGGTGGTGATGGTGACGGTACAGGTGGTGATGGTGGTGCAGGTGGTGATGTGATTGACTTGGTGATGGTGACGGTACAGGTGGTGATGGTGACGGTACGGGTGGGTGATGCAGGATGGTGACATGGTGATGGTGACGGTACAGGGTGGATGGTGACGGTGGTGGTGATGGACGGTGGGTGGTGATGGTGGGTACTGTGATGGTGACGGTTCAGGTGGTGATGGTGACGGTACAGGTGGTGATGGTGGCGGTACAGGTGGTGATGGTGACGGTACAGGCTGTGATGGTGACGGTACAGGAGGTGATGGTGGTGATGGGTGACGTACAGGTGGTGATGGTGACGGGTGAGGTGATGGTGACGGTACGATGGTGACGGTATGGTATGGTGGTGACGGTACTGGTGGTGATGATGACAGGTGGTGATGACGGTACAGGTGGTGATGGTGACGGTGTGGTGGTGGTGATGAGTGACAGGGTGGTGATGGTGAGTGGTGGTGGGCACACGGTGGGTGACGGTGGGTGGTGACGGCTGGTGATGGTTAGTGATGGTGACGGTACGGTGTGATGGTGACGGTACAGGTGGTGAGTGATGGTGACGGTACGGGTGAAAATGATGAGTTGATAGTGTTGATGATGATGGTGCAGGTAAAAATATATATGCATTGAGGAGGACCTCACTCCTTGCCTGACACTCACCTGACCTGGCTCGCCTGACCTTCACCTGGCACTCACCTGACCTGCCTGACCTTCACCTGGCACTCACCTGCCTGACTCACCTGACCTTCACCTGGCACTCCACCTAGCACTCTCCTGACTCACCTGAGCACTGGCACTCACCTGACTCCCTGGCACTCACCTGACCTTCACTGACTCGCCCGACCTTCACCTGACACTCACCTGACCTTCACGTGGCACTCAACTGACTCACCTGGCACTCACCTGACTCACCTGGCACTCATCTTATACCTCTCGCCTCACACGACACGACCCCGAGATAGAGATCCGGGTGACTTAGTTTTTCATACGAGGGAGGGGGAGAGGAGAGGGTAGGGGTAATGGGGGGTAGGGGGGGGAAGGAGGGATTATAGACTTGAATCTCCAAAATTAATATACGAAGCTTTGAAAATTATCTTACGAATCTTTAAAATTATCTCACGAATCTTTAAAATTATCTCACGAATCCTTAAAATTATCTCACGAAACCTTAAAATTAACTCAGGAATCTTTAAAATTATCTCACGAATCTTTAAAATTATCTCACGAATTCTTAAAATTATCTCACGAAACCTTAAAATTAACTCGGGAATACTTAAAATTATCTCACGAATCTTATTATTATCTCACGAATCTTTAAAATTATCTCACGAATCCTTAAAATTATCTCACGAAACCTTAAAATTAACTCAGGAATCTTTAAAATTATCTCACGAATCTTTAAAATTATCTCACGAATCCTTAAAATTATCTCACGAAACCTTAAAATTAACTCAGGAATCTTTAAAATTATCTCACAAATCTTTAAAATTATCTCACGAATCTTTAAAATTATCTCACGAATCCCTAAAATTATCTCACGAAACCTTAAAATTAACTCTCGAATCTTTAAAATTATCTCTCGAATCTTTAAATTATCTCACGAATCTTTAAAATTATCTCACGAATCTTTAAATTATCTCACGAATCCTTAAAATTATCTCACGAAACCTTAAAATTAACTCAGGAATCCTTAAAATTATCTCACGAATCCTTCAAATTATCTCACGAATCTTTAAAATTATCTCACGAATCTTTAAAATTATCTCACGAATCCTAAAAATTATCTCACGAAACCTTAAAATCATCTCTCGAATCTTTAAATTATCTCACGAATCTTTAAATTATCTCACGAATCCTTAAAATTATCTCACGAAACCTTAAAATTAACTCAGGAATCCTTAAAATTATCTCACGAATCCTTAAAATTATCTCACGAATCTTTAAATTATCTCACGAATCCTTAAAATTATCTCACGAAACCTTAAAATTAACTCAGGAATCCTTAAAATTATCTCACGAATCATTAAAATTATCTCACGAATCCTTCAAATTATCTCACGAAACCTTAAAATTAACTCAGGAATCCTTCAAATTATCTCACGAATCCTTCAAATTATCTCACGAATCCTTCAAATTTTCTCACGAATCCTTAAAATTTACTAATGAATCTTTAAACACACGAATCTCCAGAATTAACACGTGAATCATCTGAGACGCCGGACCCTGGTGTGTCGTGCTGCCGGTGTCGTCTACAAGGTGGTGATTCATTAACTTTAGGTCGTAACTGAGGCGCCGTGTTAAGCTGCCGGGGAACCACTCGCCTTCCTGGAACCTTGAGAGAGAGAGAGAGATATGTTTGGAGCCAGCGGTGTGTTATGATAAGAGGTAGTGATGATGACGGGTAGTGATGATGGAAGGTAGTGGTGGTGAGAGGGGTAGTAGTGATGAGGGGTTGTGGTGAGGGGGTAGTGGTGGTGAGAGGGGTAGTGGTGGTGAGAGGGGTAGTGGTGGTGAGGGGGTAGTAGTGATGAGGGGTTGTGGTGAGGGGGTAGTGTGGTGAGAGGGTAGTGGTGGTGAGGTGGTAGGGGGTGAGTGGTGGTGGTGAGAGGGGTAGTGGTGGTGAGAGGGGTAGTGGTGGTGAGAGGTGGTAGTGGTGGTGAGAGATTCGAGGTCGTGGTCACTACCGACGCATCCACACTAAACACAAGTCTGGCTTTGTTGTCCTCCTCCTCCTCCTCCTCCTCAGCCTTCTGCACTTACCCTTCCCTCGCAGTAATCTTTCCCTCACTCCACCTGTTTCTTCCTCACATGCTCTGCCTCTCACACCTGACAACCGTTTAGTCTCGCCAGGTAACCCGTACCACCTTGGCGGCCTCGTCTGTTCCACCCTCCATTGTAACACCTACTCCCCCTTCTCCCTGACACCCCCACACACCCTCCTGGCGGCATCACCCTCTAAACATACATCTTTAGCATCCTTTTCCTCCCCACGGAACTGTCTTATTTCTCCTCCCTCATAGTGACCTCCCCTCCCTGGTACTCACACATCTGATAACATCTGGATGGGGGTTTCCCTGGACGAGTATTATTGGAGGAGATTTACGCCCGTCACCCGACACACCGACCCACCACAAACAAGGTTCTATTTTAATACTCGGCGAGTGTAGGAGGCGGCGTGGCTGCTTGATGGTCAGTCATACACGATCTGATGTTGTTGGGCGAGTCGTCGTATCCGAGCCAACCCTTGTGATGTGTTTTATGTGTACTGTACTGGAAATCGTGGGAGCGTTAAGAAGTTAGTTCAGGATAGCTTCGTCGTCTCGGTTTGGGAAATATAAAATTGGGATTCGTCGCTGGTGGGACACCACCTGCTAGTGGTGACTCCTGCTTCCCTCTACAGTGAAGCTTTTCATAATCTGTACCACATAATTCATTAACTTCAGATATATATTTTGATATTTTAATTTTTTTTTATATAGGATGAGTGTGTTATAGAGAGTGAGTGTTGACACAGCCCGGTACTCTCCTCAGGATGAGGGAGTCACGTAGCTCCACTGTGAGGAAGAGAGAGAGAGAGAGAGAGTTGTGCCTCACAGTGATGGCTTGTGGCGTCACCTTACAGGTGTTCTCTCACACTTCTCTTACAGTTGGTCTACACAGTACTGTACCGGCGACGTGAGTCATGCCAGGGAAATTGGACTGTTTACACGACAGGGACTGGCTGGCGTGGAGGGCTGACGTAGATGTGCTCTTGGAGCATCCCTGAGGGTGGAACTTAGTGGAACATTCATTATTGTGGAGTGTGGTGGAGTATGGTGGATAGTCGTGAAGGCGCCGTGCAGGACTGTGTGTGTGGAAGGATTGTCCTGGGGGAGTAAATGCGGGCGCCTCTTACCCTCCCTCCCTCCTGTACACAGCACTGTCTATCCTTGAACTGACTGGAAATAGTATATTTAGCCAGCTCTCTTGACAGGCGCCTGATAAACACTTTCAGCTCAAGAAAATGATGGCATATCACACGGGTTGATGCAACTTTCATGGTGAGAGGAAATACACCTGGAACTGCTTACACGTTTTTCACATAACTATTATTTATAGACGAGTCTTAGTTTATTTACGTACAGTCTGCTGCTCAGGAACTGAAAAAATGCAGGTCATTATCAAGCTCCTCTTTCTCTTTAAGCAATATAGTTTCTCATTCTTCCAAATTCTCTCTCTCTCCCTGTATCCCTCCCCCTTCTGCCCCCCTCCCTCCCCCCTCCCCCTTCTGTCATGAGGGAGAGGGGAGAGTTAGTGGTGAGTGAGGGTGCCTGCCCGCTACTCCTCCCCCTAACACCACCGTCACACTACACCATCGACAACGTTATTTAGTGATTCAGCAGACACAGGAATGTAGGTATATGGGAGTAGTGAATGTAAGGTGCGGTAATTATAGTAATGTGGGGGGGGGGAGGGAGGGGGTGTAGGGCGGGGTGTGGTGGGTCGTGGCGCGGCAGTCGGTCATAGGGTTGTGTTGAGTGTGGGGCGGCGCGCGGGGGCAGGCCAGGGTGTAGCCGGAGGGCCACATAGTGCCCACACCCTCTTCTGGACACATGTCCATGTTGGCTATACTGATGCAACAATAACAGTGGATGTTGGCTACGTTGATTCAAGAATAATAGTGGACGTTGGCTACACTGATACGATAATCGTGGATAGTTACACAGTGGTGGGGCGGCTGACTGTATCCTTGTATATACCAGTGGCAGTATTCGTAGAAATGAACTCATGTGTAAATTAAGTGTCGTTTAAGGAAATATTCAACCCGTCCAGAACATTGTGGTATAGCTTAAGTTAACCAAAGAATTAGTGGGTGCAGAACCTCGAGTGTTTCTGATACAAAGAATATTGTGCTTTATCGAAGTCGACTTGTGTTGGTTGTATGGTGGTGGCGGTGCCGTCCTCGAGTGAGCAATAAGTCGAGGAGTGCCAGGTCTGGGTGCCAACATGTGCCCACGTTTGTCACCAGTGTCTCGTTAATGAGTCGTATCCCACCTTGGGCACGCCGGCCGCTGGTTCCTGTTGTGAGTGGCGACACAGTGACCTCACTTTGTGGCCACACACATGCCCAGTAACACGTGCCCTTATCACGTGCTCACAACACGTGCCATACATAACACGTGCGTGCAATCTGTGCAAATTATACATCAACCAACCTTAAACTAAAAAAAAAACTGAGATTTAATGTAAATATAGACATTCAGTTACTGTTAATAACAACACTACATATCAATATTGTACCAGTGTTGGGTCTGGTGACGATATTAAATAGTCTTTGTTGAAATGTTGATCAGTGAGGTTGTAGAGCGAGGATAAGTGACCCAGAAAGTTGGGAGTGTTAAGTGAAAAGTGAGCTGCTCAGTGCTAGCCCTTTGTCTGATTACATCCAATTATTACGAATGTTTGGACTCACTTAAGAACGATGGTGTCGACACTACATATCACCCTTAGCTACAACCAGCCAGGCGGCCAGAGCCTGGGGAGGAGCGTGTCTTGTGAGGACACCAACTTAGTGGGCTTCACTTCTTCAGCTCTTGCTTCTACCTCCAAGAACACCTCGCTCTCCACCTCCAGTGTTCTTGATGCTCGTACTCCGCTACCTCACGACGCTAAACCATCCTCGGTACAGAACCTTCTTGCTCCTACGCCCTACAACCCGACGTCGAGTTTAAAGTCGCCATCATGGTCGCCGGTCAGATTCAAACCTAAGCCCTTACCGGATTCCCTGAAGAATTTCGGCAATTGGAAAACTGCTTCGAACAATGAGTCTGAAGCGAGCTCGGGTAAGAATGCAATGTCGGCAGTACCCGCAGCTGACACGACAGTGAGGCCGATGTGGGCTAAAAACTCCGGCGATAACAAGCTGGCTCTTGTATCACCCTCTCTCGTGGCTCATTGGTCTCCGACAGACACCACACCCGGGGACTCTGGGAAGACCCCCTACAGAACATTCTCCAAGGTTATTCGTAAATCTTCAAGTGCTAGTCAGGTGGTTTCTCCAACTTATAATCAAGGACCATCGCCCAGCACTACCCAAGGGCCATCTCTCAGTGTTTCCCAAGGGTCTTCCCCCAGCACTACCCAAAAAAAAAAATTCAGTACTACCCAAGAGCCGTTATCTAGCGCTATCCTAAGGCAATCTCGTAGCTGTACCCGAATGCCACATCACAGTGCTACACAAGGGTCGACTACTAGTGCTTCCAGGAGACCATCTCCCAGTACTACACAAGCGCCATCTCCCAGCATTAAAGAGTCCTCAAGCGCTACCAGGAGACTATCTCCCGGTGCTACCCAAGGGCCACGTCAAAGTGCTGTCCAAGCTCCACCTTTCAGTGCTACCCAAGGGTTATCTGCCAATGCTCCGCGAACACAGCCTCCTGGTTCTGCCAATGGGTCGTCTTCCAGTGGTATCCAAGGATCATCACCCAATATTAACCGAAAGCCGTCTCCCAGTAATTCTCGAAGGCCATCGCCCAGCGCTGCTCAAGGGTCATCTCCCAGTGCTACTCAAGGGCCTTCTTCTGGTGCTACGCAAGGTCCATCTACCAGCACTACCAGAAAGCCATCTCCAAGTGCTACTCAAGGGCCTTCTTGCAATGACATCCAAAGGCCGTCTCCCAAATCTGGTCGAAGGCCTTCTCCCAGCGATACACAAGGAGTCACTCTCAGTGTTAACCAAGAATCATGTGGTATAGCCCAAAGGCCATCTCTCAGCACTACCCAAGGGTCATCCCTTGGCACTTCTCAGGGGTCGTTTCCCACCTCTTCCCGAGAGCCATCTCCCAGCACTGTTCAGGGGCCATCTGACAGTTCTACCCAAGGCCCTGTTCCTAAAAAAATTCTGGGAGACACAGCATGGTTATATCCAAGCACTCCCGGGTCGGCCTCCAATAATACCTCTCCGGTGTCTCCTTCTACGCCTTGGAGACACATACCTAGCCGTCTGGCACCCACATCGTACCAGCGCTTTGAGAGTGTAAGTTATAGCTAAGACTAATACATTGAGACAGAAATCACCAATTTTAAAAGATGCTTCCTCAATAAGGAGGATGACTCATGTTAGTTCTGCGTCACATTCTTCCCGGGATCAGACGCGCGGCTCAAGTAAATTAGGCAAGGCTATTTACATTTGCCCTCGCTTAACATATTATTATTATTAAAGATTGTACGGTGTGTGTTGCCGTATATAAGTTTGGGGTTGAGAAGTAAGGGTGTGTATAGGTTTGGGGTTGAGAAGTAAGGGTGTGTATAGGTTTGGGGTTGAGAAGTAAGGGTGTGTATAGGTTTGGGGTTGAGAAGTAAGGGTGTGTATAGGTTTGGGGTTGAGAAGTAAGGGTGTGTATAGGTTTGGGGTTGTGGAGTGGAGGGTTATGTGTTAGGGTGGAGGGGTTGTAAGGGTTGTTGTTGACACGTCCGGGGTAACAAGCTAGGAATATCCTCCACCCTGCCTCTCATCATTCACCTCCCGCTTGAGCACGTCCGAGTGTGTGGCGGTGTGCCGGAAGCTGATCTTGAACCAGTCGCTGTCAGTGTCAAGCTCTTGAGTACATGGGAACCGAACTGATGATAACCTCTGGCTTCCAATTTATTCCTACTCAAGAATTAGTTTATAATATTGTTGCTGGCCGATTTATATGTATATATATATATATAGCACTTGAAGGTAAGGCACCTTAATTTATCTCAGTTGATGAAACACCCTAACGCGAGCTAGGGGGTTAGGTTATGGATTAAGGTTGGGGTACCTAATCGTCACATGAACCGGTATAGCTGTAGTATCGTTGTGTACTTGTGAAACCAATAGCTTGGACACGTAGGACACCAGGCACCCCCTCCCTCTTCCTCCCAATCCCCCTCCTCCGTCTTCCTACTGTTCCCCCCCCTCCCCCTTCTCTTCTCCTATGTGTCTGGCCATCAATTTGTCTATCTATCTGCCCGTCAAATTTGTTTTTCTATCTTTCCGTCAATTTCTCTACCTGTCTATCTGCCTAACCAACATATTAGTTTTGTATAACTGATGCTTTAGTGAAGAAAGAACCTTATCGATTATATTCCCAGGTCAAAGGTCACGGTCACTTACTAATTAGAGGAAAGGTTCGGTATTAATTAATTGGCCACTGACAGGTGTTCCTACTTGTGGTTTTATTGATGGGTAGAATGTGGTGGTGAATGGAGATGGGTTGAGGATGTACAGTCCCCTTCACTAGTGCGTTTACAGGGGCTCGTCATAGAAACATTCCACAAATCATTACATTGAGATATTTGTTTTGACATTGTTTTACTTCGATTCCTTACTATGTTTATTATTGCGAGTTTCCTTCTGTCGAATGTAAACCAACACAGGGCTTCCCACACTGCCTATACGTGGTGGTGTGTGTGTGTGATGCGACAGTAGGTGGGTGGAGGTTGTAGCGGTGGTGTACAAGTTGAATGTGTGTACTGTCTCCAACACCGTCTAGTAGATGGTGTCGTCGCTCGCCAAGAACCCAACATCGTAAAACTTCACTTCTCTTATTTTTATCCAGTCTGAAGATTTTAGACTCCAATTTAACTCTTGACAAATTAACTTTTATTTAATTTTTACTGGTTATTGAAGCTTGTATTTAATTTGTGAGTTGTTTAAAAGAATGTTCTTAAAAAGTGTAAACAGAGAGCTTGTGTTGGTTGTTTTCTTCTCGTGTATGTTGACTTAAAGATTGGTTAGGTTAGGTTAGGTTAGTGTGAGATACAAGGTATTTAAGAAGCCCGATAGATATTATCTGGCGGCTGGCCCCTTGGGTACTACACACTCACCAGCCTACCAGACCACAGTGCCACACACACCAACCTCCAAACCCATAGTGCCACACACGCACATCAACCTCCAAACCCACGGTGCCACACACACCAACCTCCAAACCCATAGTGCCACACACCAACCTCCAAACCCATAGTGCCACCCACCCACATCAACCTCCAAACCCACAGTGCCACACACACCAACCTCCAAACCCACAGTGCCACCCACATCAACCTCCAAACCCACAGTACCACACACACCAACCTCCAAACCCACAGTGCCACCCACATCAACCTCCAAACCCACAGTGCCACACACATGAGCCTCGCTGCCCACAATGCCATCATCCCACTACAGATCCACTCATTTAAACTCCTCAATGTTATCTGTACTAAAGGTTAAACTCTCACATCAAGTGGCACGTCGACCCTCTGGCTGGCTGTATCCTGCCACCTCCGGCTCCCCAGGAACTAGTCCCCACAGTATTTAATTATGTCTTGTGAAGTATTTGGAAGATAGTGTTGAGAGATGGGGTGCTGTCTCTGAGTGTATAGAACAGGTCATAGAGGTAGACTTGAAAGGACTCCAACGAGGGACAATAAGAACTAGTTTATCTGCGTTGCGTCGTACAACCTCATGACTCGTACGTCGTGTATTGTGGGGCTGTGAATGGCGTGTCAAGAGCCAGTGTGTGGGTGCCTGAAGAATACACTTGTCTACTTGTGTTTACGAGTGATTTTACGATTGACATACCGGTACTTGCAAGGACGAGTGACATATTGGTAAGTGTAAGGTTGAGTGACATACCCTTGTGAACAGGTCCAAATGATAGACAAAATGTGTAAGTTACTGATTTAATTAGGTTCCAGAAAGTATTTTTTTTAACACAGTTTTGTCATACCCCGCTATGGTACTAGGCTTCAGTATCAGGGATAGATTATACTAGGAGCTAAGTACTGGGTGTTGCTCGCCTGGTACTACGTCTGTGTGTCTGCAGTGACGAAGTGGGCGTGATGATGACCCGCCCACTGCTGTCTCCTGCCTCTCACACCTTGTTACTGTGCTGTCCGAGTTATTTACTCTACAACTCTTGTCTTGAGATATTCTTGGCATCTATTACCAGTATTTGTGTTGTTAGTTAAAATGTCAAAGAAAACAGGAAATTAGATGAACGTTGCGTATTGTTTCACCTGACGTCAACACTAAGTTATTGATTATTGTAAAGCACCTGGCATCTATTAACAGGTGTAACACGTGTTTACTGAGGATAACCATTCAGAGAGAGAGAGAGAGAGAGAGAGAGAGAGAGAGAGAGAGAGAGAGATTACTTTCATATCCCAATTACTTCTCTCTATCTTTATTTCTTAGAGGTTTGTATATTATTTTGTCTCTATTGCTTGTGTGACTTGTGAAAACCTCCATGGGTAGTACACACACACACACACACACACACATATGTAGACAGACTTTGAGGTGATTCTTGATGTCTGGATAAACAATGGCTGAATGGAATATTTGTGTGTGTGTGTGGCGGCTATCAGGTGTTGTGACAGTGAGATGAAATGTGAGTCATAGAGAATTTATTATTATTATTATTATTATTATTATTATTATTATTATTATTATTATTATTATTATTATTACTATTATTATTATTATTATTATTATTATTATTATTATTATTATTATTATTATTATTATTATTGTTGTTGTTGTTGTTGTTCTTACTACCAATATTAATAGTGTATTCAAAGTAAAGTCTATTCCAACATCGTCTTCTAAGTCAGGTTTAGTAATAACTAGGAGGTGAGTGTATGGCTGGGAGGTGACAGTGGCCATAGTTTCGACCCAGTGTTCGCCAGTTGCCTTGTGAGGTGAAGCTCCCACTCAGCCAAGGTCGTAACACACTACACTTGCCTCACAATATTTTGTTTTATTACCTTGTGTGGTACAGTGGAGGTTACGGCTGGTGGGGCACTGGGGAGTATATTTAGTTATGTTGTATAGAAGTTGATGAAGAATTGGTGGAGTGGATGTGTAGGGTGGTGGTGGTCTCAGGGCCAAGGTCACAGCCTAGATTTTTTTTAACGGTTAACAAATTTATTGACAAAGCTTGGAGTACAGTTTGCCTATTCTGAGTAATTCAGTTGGGTCTTGACACTGAGGGTGGTATCACTGTTCACTGCCACACAGGACAGAGGTTCATACACAGAGAAATACAGGGTGTCCATAAATGATTATCCTGATTAAAACATGAGAGCATACTGTTTTTAGGGTAATCATTTGTGGACACCTTGTAGATCATATTAACAGTATACAGTATATAGGTCAGAGTCATGGGGGCGATATCACTGTTCACTGCCACACAGGACAGTGGTTCATATACAATAGAAGTCATATTCTATTTGAGGACTAATCAGTGTGGACTAGCAAATTTTGGATAAACAGTATTATAGTAAGCCTCCCTCGACTCGGGTAACATGCTGTGATGGTCTGAGGGCTAATAATAATAATAATAATAATAATAATAATAATAATAATAAACTAGTTCAGTTTATCAAGGTCTCGTCACTGTGTAGTTATGTGCTAATTTAGGTATAATTGTAACAACGGACATTACTGAACCACCCACTTACACCATCCCCTCTCTGCCACCCACACCACCCCTTTCCCCATCACCAATATCACTCCCTCCCACCACCCCTATCACCCCCTCCCACCCCTCCCACCACCCCTATCATCCCCCCCCCTCCCACCACCACTCAACCTACCCTTATGAGTGAGGGCAGTCAGACGTGAGGAAAGACACCCATGTATGGGATAGGGTAGGATGTCTAGTGCCTGTACCGACAGACAATAACTAACCCATGACACAACCCTAACACACTATTAGCTTAGCTAGGCTGTCAGCCCGCCCTCTCTTACCTCCTAAACTTCTTCAATTTCCGAACTATAACTTCCTTCCCCCACCTCTAATCTTCTTTCACCCCTTCTTTCTGTACCAAAAAAAATATTTTTATCCCAGACGGTGGGTTTCCCAGGCTACTGTGAAGGTTGGAATGTACGTAGGTTGCAATTAAGAGACCCAGGGTGAACAACGACACTTACACCACCACCACCACAACAACAACAACAGGACTAATGAGGATGAAGATAAACTAATAATAATAATATCATCACCACGAAATACAAATATACACATTAATTAAAATGGACAGAACAAAGAATACTAATAAACATACCAGTAACATCATCATACAGCCGTTACAACAGGTGTGTGTGTGTGTGTGTGTGTGTGTGTGTGTGTGTGTGGAGGCCCCGCGTCACCTGGGCTTACATCACATACAGGTAGGTGGTCAAGACAGAGTATATACCGTGATGCTTGGCCCTGCGGCTCAATGAATATACACTTATAAGCAATGAGTATCTCTACACCCTTTGAGTACTTTGGAGTATTTGTAAACAGTTAATAGTTGAGTATTTTCCTCCTCTTCCTCATCCTTCCTTCCCCCTTCCTCCCTCCCTTCCCCCTGCCTCCCCCTGCCTCCCCTCCTGCCTCCCCCTGCCTCCCCTGCCTCCCCTGCCTCCCCCCTGCCTCCCCCTGCCTCCCCCCTGCCTGCCTCCCCCCCCTGCCTCCCCCCCCTGCCCTCCCCCTCCCCCCTCCTCCCCTTCCTCCCCCCTGCCTCCTCCCCCCCTCCTCTTCCCTCCTCCCTTCCTCCTCCCTCCCCCCCTTCCTCCCCTTCCTCTCCTCCCCTCCCTCTCCCTCCCCCTCTTCCTCCCCCTTCCTCCTCTTCCTCATCCTTCCTTCCCCTTCCTCCCCTCCCCCTTCCCCTGCCTCCCCTGCCTCCCCTCCTCCCCCTGCCTCCCCCTGCCCCCCCCCTGCCTCCCCCCCCCCTCCCCCCCTGCCTCCCCCCTTCCTCCCCCCCTGCCTCCTCCCTTCCTCCTCGTCCTCCTCTTCCTCCTCCCTTCCTCCCTTCCCTCCCCTTCCTCCTTCCCCATCCTCTTCTTCCTCCTTCCCTCATCCTCTTCTATCCTCCCTCCCTCCCCTCCTTCCTTCCTTCCTTCCACCCCCTTCCCACCCCCTCCGAGATGATGTGAGGGTATTCGAGGATAATGAGAAACAGACAAGGCGCCCATTACAAGTGGGGATATGGTGGTGTGTTGATGATGGTGATAATCGTGTGATGATGATGGTGATAATCGTGGTGATGATGATGATGGTGATAATCGTGGTGATGATGATGATGGTGATAATCGTGGTGATGATGATGATGGTGATAATCGTGTGATGATGATGGTGGTGATAATCGTGGTGATGATGATGATGATGGTGATAATCGTGTGATGATGATGATGGTGATAATCGTGGTGATGATGATGATGGTGATAATCGTGGTGATGATGATGATGGTGATAATCGTGGTGATGATGATGATGGTGATAATCGTGTGATGATGATGGTGGTAGTAGAGTAATGATAATGGTGATTTAATATGATCTCAGATGCAAAGCCCACATATATATCCTTAATAAAGAAAAGTGTGCATGTATGTATGTATGTATGTATGTATGTATGTATGTATGTATGTATGTATTGACGTTGGTTTAGTTTGTCTATTAATTATTAATATCTGTCAGCAGCGTTATAAATTTTATTTTATTTACGTATTGCTTGTGGGTGTTATGTAGGCGGTGGGCGGGTCTGTAGGGTGGTTATGGTTGTGTTGTGGGCGGTGGGTGGGTCTGTAGGGTGGTTATGGTTGTGTTGTGGGCGGTGGGTGGGTCTGTAGGGTGGTTATGGTTGTGTTGTGGGCGGTGGGCGGGTCTGTAGGGTGGTTATGGTTGTGTTGTGGGCGGTGGGTGGGTCTGTAGGGTGGTTATGGTTGTGTTGTGGGCGGTGGGTGGGTCTGTAGGGTGGTTATGGTTGTGTTGTGGGCGGTGGGCGGGTATCGAGAGTGGTTGTCCAGTGGGTGGTGGGTCGGGGTGTAGGGTGCCAGGGTCTGTGTGGCGCCGACTAAAATAGTCTGGTGAGGACACGTGTTGGAGTGCCAGTGCCAGCCTGTGTTCTTCCCTCTCCTGACAACGTTTGTTACACACACACACACACACACACACACACACACACACACACACAGTCCTCAGTCTCGTGTGTGCACATTTTAATAATATTCATTGTATAGTTTTAATGTCTTATATTTGTACCTTATGTCTTAGTGTTGGACAGTGCATAATGTATTTTATTTCTGGTTGTTTCAGAGCGTGCACAGTGGTCGTGGGAGTAAAGGGGTGGGCGGGGGTGTGATGGAGGATGGCGCATCCCACGCCCCCGTAGCCGCCCGCGTCGTCTCTGCCTCCTCCACCCCGCGCAAGGCCAACTCCCTCCCGGGTTACTACTCTCGGGGCTCCTCTCACCATCCTCCGCCCTCCTTCCGCGATGCCTTCAACACCAGCAAGAGTCCGACGCCCCCGAGTCGCCATGATGCTGCCCCGGCTGCCCCACCCCGGGGGCCCACCAGTCCCAGGGCCCCAAGAGTTGCTGCCGTCAGTCAACACCAGCGACAATTGCAACCTCATCATCAACACCAAATGCAGCAGCAACAACAACAGCAGCAGCTACACCGCCCACAACACCAGCAACTGCAGCACCAACAGCAACATTTACAGCAGCAACAACAACAACGACTTCAACAACAGTATCAACAAAATCAGCAACAGCAAAGGCTGCAACAACAGAAACGGCAACAAATACAACAGCAGGAACAATTACAACAACAAAAACGTAAGATACAATTGGAACAACAACCACACAGGGAGCAGTCACATAAGGGGCAGCAGCAACAACAACAACAACATCATCCTCGGCATCAAGAACAGAAGGCAGAAAAACCATCACTACCTCAGCCAGAGAAGAAGAGTAAAAGGTCTTTGTTGAGCGGCATCTTCAGGCGTCGGAGGAAGGAGGCGAGCAACAGCTCCAACAGCAGTAGCAGCAGTGACAGTGAGGAGCCTCCCCAGAGACGAACATTTCTTCGCCGTCGAACTAAGAAAAAGGAACATAAAGAAAAAGAACCTTCACTACCGTCTGCACCACCGCCACCTCCGGGCGAAGACGCGTTAACCCGGGGTGGCCATGTGCGGGTTACGGCGGGCGTTGATCCTGGGGAGAGCAGCGAGATAAACTCAAGGCTATTAGCGGAGAGCAGCAACAGGAGGGTGAGAGTAATGCCCAGTGCTACAGGGAGTTTAGGCAGGGATACACAACCACTTGGTATCCCTGTGTTGATGCCACAACCAGGACAGTTGTCGAGGGTCGGGGTCTCAGCATCACATGATTCCTTGCCAGTCAGTCTAGGGTCATGGGCTGGGGGTGGCTCTCATGCTTCCCTCGGCTACTACTCAGGAGGAGGCATGGGTACACGCAGCTCTAGCACGGACACCATCAGTAAAAAGGAGCGAAGGGAGGCACTGAAGGCACGGGTGGAACGGCTCCGTGATAAGTTTAGGGATACAAGCTCTGATGAGGAGAAGGCGTCTGTGTCATCACATTCTATGTATGGCAGCGAGTCTAGTCTTTCAAAATCCAACTCTCTCAGCAGACGTTCTAGAGCAGCCCGGACTGAACGATTCCTCCGGCGGAAATCACAAGAGCTGGAGACGCTGCGTACTGAAACTGAAAAGGACCGACGGAACCGTGAAGTCGTACAGGCCAGGATTGAGGAAATACAGCGAGTACGAGAGTTTGAGGCCGAGAGGAACAAAATCAATGAGGAGAAGAAGCTACAGATCCCTGATAAAACCAAACCAAAATGGTCTGCCAAACTGGTGTATCAGGAGTCCAGTGAATACGAGTCCTCTGTTCTCTTACGAACTCCCTCGGTGAGTCCAGCGGCAAGCCCTCACATGAAGGCCAAGTTCCAGGGCCACATTCCACCTAATTCCAACGACACCAGGAGCACTGTGGTCATGAGACAGAAGCCGCTCACACCACACACTTCTGTAACAGTCTCATTGGCGCCTCCATCTGGGACGCCAATAAGAAGAAGCTTCCAAGACTTTGAAACACCAGTTCAGGGAGATTTTAGAGCTCACAGGAGTGCTTCTTATGATAGCAACATCAATAGAAATTCTGTATTAATGCATCAATCATCCGGAGTTAATTTTAATGGCGCTTCAATAGTTAATGCAACGCCACTAAGTAGATCTGGCCTGATCCCCCCGGCTCCTCCTCCCAGAGACAGGAGCAGGATATTGTCCCCAGGAGATGGTCGACCCATGTCATTTTCTTTTGAGAATCTTAACCAGGAAGCCCAACGACCAAACTCAGGTCAGTCGAGTATGAGTAACTTCACCAAAGGTTCCAGTCCCAGTCCCAGTGTTCGCTCTGTTCCAGCTTACTTGGGCCCAAGATCAAACAACCAGCTACAGGGGCAACCGCCGCCCATGGTGCCCAACCGGCGGTCCTTCTCTGAACTGGAACTGTCACCCCAGCAGCAGGCACCAATCAAGTCAAACTATGGAGCTCCTCCAGCCAGGCCTGCACCCCCAGCATATCCACCAACACAATACAGGTACACTGATCAGCCACCAAAGACCCTCCAGCAGAACCAATATTCTAGAATCCAACAACAGCCACCGCAACTACAACAACAACCGTCACCACAACAAACTCCTAGCAATCAGACCTCCAATCAGATGCGTTACTATACTGACCAAGCACCTCAGTATGCCAAGATTGTCCCCATCAGCAGTGTGCCTCCTTCCCCATCCTCTGATTATTCCTCCTACATGAGCGATAACAGTGTGAGACTACAACAAGCTAACACTGTGTGGCGGCAAAAGGAGCAGGAAATTAAGAATAAAATAACAATAGCCCAAAGTGTTGCTTCTCAAATTTTGAGCGACTCGTCACGTTCCAACAGTCCTAAACCCGATGGCTATTGTTCAAATGGGATGACCACGTCTCCCGTGACGCAGCAGAGTGACAACACCTACGGCATCATCCAGACTAAAAAGACTCGTCCAACACCTCTCACCCTCAAGCAGGCAGAATCTCTCAGTTCACTCTCGGGTCAAAGTGACGTCTCCAGCCCCGTCCCAAAACCTGTTGACTCTGATTCCAGCCAAAGTAGTTTAGCCAGGGAGAAGAAGAAGCTACTACAGAACAGACCACTGTCTATGGTGCTGGAGAAGTCTGAATCAGGTGAGAAAGTCTCTCCTCCAAACACTCCCAAGTCAAGGCCACAACCTCCCAGGAGAGGCAGCAAGCAGGTGACCACCCCGGGCCGAGAGATCACCAAGCGACAAATGTTACAGGAGATCATGAAGCACAAATTAGAACACCCGAAGGAGAAACCAATTTATCAAAAAGAGTTTGAAGACATGTACAGAAAGGAAAAGGAGAGACTGGAAAAGAGCAAGTGTAGCAATTTTGAAGAAGCCTTGAAGGAGCTGGAGGAGATATACGACAGCTTGAAGCTGGATAGTGAAGACCTGCTAGACCGAGCTGAGCGTCGTGACCTGCCTATACAACACCAGCAGCTGAGAGAAGAAAGGCAAGATGCGCACGACTCCATCAGTGAAACTGGAGACACGGATTCCACCGTCCAGGACCGAGGCAGATCACGAACACCAAAACTGAGAAGATCGGGAGTTCCGGATTTAAAAGCTGATGACATGCACTACCGGCGATGTCAGCAGAGTACTCGTAACCAGCCGGACGTGCAGAAGGCACTGCAGATGACGGGCAGCTACCTGCTGGTGTCTGCCGCCCATGTTACACCTTCAGACCTGGATAAGGATCTGCCAAAGGACCCCATGATGGAGGGACAGCCAGATATTGTATATGACGATGTATCATACAGAAGCATCAAGCAGGCTAACTCCATTAAGGTTATTGACCCTCAGCCTCCATTTGGAATCCCATTAGGACCAACGACTCAAGGATCTGAGAGTGATTATTTGCACGTGACCCCAAAAGAGAACTACAGACCCAAGATGATCTCCAGGAAGGAGCCAGACACGACCATGGACGACTTAGCATTCAGAAATCTGCGGAAGGACCAAAGGGACCAATCCAACAAGGAGGTTAACGTCTCTGAGCTGGACGAACTCCTGTCAGAAGCGAACAATGAATCCCCTTTGTACAGGAGGAGAGCAGTGCGCTCCATGTCTGCAGACCGAGCTCAGGTCCAGAGAGAACAGTCTAACAGTACAGACAATATTACCCTAGATAAAGGTATGAAGCTACAAACACCAAGACGAGTGAAACATCAAAATGAAGCTCGTCGTTCTGGCCGCTTCATTGGTAGTTACAAGGACGCTGTGACAGACAGTGAAGCCACCCCGCTCAGTCCACGGCACAACCCCAGCTGGCTAGAGAGAGCCCACTTAGTGGACAACAAATGGGATAATCTCAGCACAAATAACTTAAGTACCAGCACAGAAACTCTTACGGAAATGTCATCAGCACGAGCAGTGTCACAGCCAGATATCCGACAAGCCATTATTCGGGAAGCTCGGGTACCGCCAGGAGGTCCCCAGGAGGTAAAAAACAGGCTGCAGGCTGTTACTGTTACTTCCCTCACTGCGGCTACCGCGGCCAGCCCCACCATCGCCACCATAACAGAGCCGAAGATAGTCAAAGTGCAGACCATCCAGAGCGCTCCTGTCTCTCCCGTAGTGGTGGAGAGGAAACCCTACCGACCGCTAGACACCATCTTCAACAACAAACCCAAGCCTTTTTACCTTAATGATAAACCTCAGCCCCAGCATCAGCAGGAGCCTGTGGATATAGCCAAGCTCGATGCCCTCATATCCACACTATCCAAGATTGATAATAATGATGACGTTTCTGACGTGTCATCCGTCGCTTCTAAACAGCCCGATGAAACACCCGCCACAGACTTTGAAACTCAGGAACTGAAAATTAGTGAAGACCCCACTTATGAAAATACATTTGAGTCCCCTACCATTGTGTCACAATCCACTGAGAATCGTAGTGTAAATTATGAAAAGAACAGTGCCAAAGCGAATATCGGGAAGGCCATCAGATTGTCCATGGCCTTGGAGTCTTTTAGCAGTGAAGGTAAACAGGTTTCCTCTCGTAGGCGTAGTGCTATAGACCTGCCAGTAAGAGACGCTGAACCCTCACAAAATAGTCCCTCCATCTCTTCCACTAATATCCTTCATTGCCTGTATGTTAACCTCAGTAGTAGTCAGGTGCCAGAACCGAGTTCCCCGGAGAGAGTAACTCTCACCACGGAGCCTCAGTCGGCGCTAGCAAGAGCCTCAACCTGTACTGATAGGATAGAGTCTATGATTGTTGTTTCTGAAGATGTGCATGATAGAGCCAGGCGTGCTCACTCAGTACCCACCTCACCCAGGGGGGTTGACAGTGTTCCTGTGTTCAACAGAGATTTTGATATGTTAATAAATGGGTCAAGAAATATCAATATAGGTGAGGTAGTTCCTGTCTCAGAGTGTAGTAGTAATAGCAAGGTTGTGACCGCCACGCCTCTCCCGGCGGTGGAGGTGGAGGAATCTCTGAGTGAGTCTCTCTCTCCTCACTCTCCCTCTCATCTCTCCCACCAACTTGATCAATCTCTCTCACCACTAAAATTAATCATAAACCAAAAACTTTCCAACGCATGCGGGAATAAGAATCTCTCCCAAATATCTGTCCATGATGAAACTCCACCTCCGCATGCCGCAGCACTCGATGTCAACAAGACCGTTGAGCCCGAGTGTGGAGGGCCCGGTGGCACGGCTGGTGGTGCCCAGGGTACACCACCTTCACCAGCAGATGTGCCACCGCCGCCCATGCGCTCTTCCTCCCTGCCACCTTCTCCAGCTCTCCAGAGAGCCCTCAGCGCCTCTTCTCATCTGCTTGGTCCACCTTCACCTACGCGTAATGCTGACGCCTGGCTTGTATCTCAACGGCGTGATCACTCGCTGCATGGTGCCAGTGTGCCCGTGCTGGGAAGGGCCGCCAGTACCAGCAGCTCTGAGAGTGATGACTTCGGCAGTGTGGTGAGGGCGGGGTCCATGCCACCCACCTCACGCCCGCCCCGTAACACTGCCAAGTTACCCAAGGGTCGAGGACAGGCGGACACTCCAGGGCCACGTTCGTGTTCTTCAGGTGAGGGTCCAGATTGCGCCGCAGCTGCCCCGGATTGCGCCTGTATGCAGTCACTGTTGGCTGCCTGCTATCTGCTTGCATGTCTGACTCAGCTGGCTGGAATTGATCTGATTACCGCCTTCGGTGTTCTCCTGGCCATAGCCTCCGTGTTTATCACGTTCGCATTATGACCCCACAGACAGTAACTTAACCTTTCCACTCAAACAGTCCAGTACCCTTCCACAGGTGCTCCCCCACACACGGTCTCATCCCATGATCGAACGCTTCTTTCCCTCCACGCTTAATGATTTTTTTTAGACAGTTCTTGGTAGACTTCCTTCACCAGATAACATACCGTATTATTTTAACACAATACATGCTATACTTTACACTTATATAAAGCTATTTAACTTTTAAGTGAAGGAAGTCTGCTGCCTCAGAATGTCCTGTATGAATTTTTAAGTAATTGAATTTATATGTTGCTGTTTCCCGCCCCCTGTGGTACTCTAGCCTCGTAAGATACTGTATATTGTGGCCATGGGTCATTACTCTCACTTACGTTCAACCATCAAGCAACTTTGACCACTTGTGTCATTATGAGCTGTCTAACGTAACTTTGTCTCTTATGAATTTAAAATCATCCTCATTATCATTATATCATTATCACAATCATTATAACCACGGTGAGCCAGAACAGCACCGTGAGTTAGACACAATGACCCACGGCACTAGTCAGTCATGGCCAGGAATGTGTCACAAAGCTTTGGAGAAATATGATATGGTTTTGTAGTAGTGTTTCTCATCTACTGCCAGTGTTGTGGTGTGCTGTGTGTTCACTCCTTCCAGCTTCGTTTTTCCCCTAGACGTTGTACTGTACCAGGTTGTACTGATGTATACTGTACTCTGGCGTTGTCTCCTAACACGAATGTATAAATCCTAACATGTAATAGACGAAATTTAATTCACAATAATAATAATATAAAATTAATTGGTTGGTCCAATGGATCTGACTGATATTTGTTGGTGCTGGTGAGGAGTTACTTGGAGGACTGTGTAACGTGAACTGGTGACGAATAAATAAACACATATGATAAGAATTAATAAAAAAATAAATAAATTACAAGACATAAATCCAAAACAGACATTTATAAAACTTTAATATTAATCTTTTTTAGTGACCATTAAACGTTTGGGTGTGACTGAAATAGTTCAGTTGTCACAGTGAGTCGCTAACCAGGCATTTACTTGAGACACTAACAACTGGTATGTCAGCGCTCTTACAACATGGGGTCGTCAGCAGTGCCTGGCGATAAGTACCGCCATGCAGGGGGGTGTTGTGTGGTCAGCAGCGCGTGTCAGGCAGAGACTGTGTCTACCCCTGGTAACTGTATTGAGTGCTTGCACGTCACTGATGACCTGTAAATAAGAGGCAGTGTGTCAGGTCCACGTCTCTGATGACCTGTAAATAAGAGGCAGTGTGTCAGGTGCACATCTCTGATGACCTGTAAATAAGAGGCAGTGTGTCAGGTGCACGTCACTGATGACCTGTAAATAAGAGGCAGTGTGTCAGGTGCACGTCACTGATGACCTGTAAATAAGAGGCAGTGTGTCAGGTGTACGTCACTGATGACCTGTAAATAAGAGGCAGTGTGTCAGGTGTACGTCACTGATGACCTGTAAATAAGAGGCAGTGTGTCAGGTGCACGTCACTGATGACCTGTAAATAAGAGGCAGTGTGTCAGGTGCACGTCACTGATGACCTGTAAATAAGAGGCAGTGTGTCAGGTGTACGTCACTGATGACCTGTAAATAAGAGGCAGTGTGTCAGGTGTACGTCACTGATGACCTGTAAATAAGAGGCAGTGTGTCAGGTGCACGTCACTGATGACCTGTAAATAAGAGGCAGTGTGTCAGGTGCACGTCACTAAAGTCCCTATATAGGTGAGTCCGCGGATGCTGCTGCAGGTGACCGCGGTGTCTTCCCCGGTCACACGCTCCCCTAATAGCCCCATAGTATCGCCTTCCATGTACCAATTCTTCAATAATTGTCTCTCACGAGAACAACTTATACGCGAGACTTGACCTCAGGTGTCTCCCTACCGTGAGATAGGTGGGGCGTATACAGGTGGACTTGGCCAGTTCTCAGTATAAGGATGGAAATGGCTCGTGATATTGTCTCGTCTATCATGTAGTCGGGATCTGTGAGGGCCGATTGTAAACACTGGTTAATAATCCCTGACGCTATAAGAGACACACTCAGGACCCACATGTATACTGTATAGATATATAATTATAGACTACTGAAGATACTAGACGTGCCTATCACTCGACTTGTGACGTCATCCCGGTAAAATTTATCATTAACTGTAATATTGGATTGATTACATGAATACCTGTGTCCACGCCGTCTTGAGGACTACACACACAAGCATGTTCGTCTCTGTAATACCTAAGACAGCATGTGGTGTGATTTGAATTTTTCCATTATTCTATTTAGTTTTATTGTATTATCTTTATTATTATTACTCTTTCATAAATCTATTATTTCTGGTAATCACGATCATGTTTGTCCTGTATAAATGTATCAGTGACAGCCAGAAATATTAGTGTGTGTTGGTAAGGGTGGGAGATGTAACGCTGCTTCACTCTAATTACCTACACCCGACCAGTGTGTTGACGCTGGAATGTTTGATAATTTTTTTTAAGTGCCAAATAATCTTGACGTAATTATCTAATGGTGAAGACTTTTATTGTGATATGTATAAAAAATGTGTAAAAAATAAATATCTTTTTAACCAAATATAAGTTTTGTAAAAGAAATCATCTGTATTTGTCTTATTTTTTTGTCCTATTGTAATAATCTCTCTCTTTTACAGGATCATATTTATCATTACCTTTGGCATATTATTATTACCTGTATATATTATTTTGTGGACAGGTGATGTACTAAGGTGTATGGTTGACCTTGAGAATCATGTACAGCTGTGGTCAAAATATCCCTGAACACTTTTAGATTATACCTGGTATCTAATTAAGGGTTCTGTTATGAATAAAAAATTGACATTTCGCTATACATTATAATTTTTCGGAGTTTCTTTATTATTTTTTTTTAAATATTATGATAAAATAAAATAAAACAATCATAAATTATAAAAATATATATAAGCCACAATTATATACCAGTTATTGCCAAGTGTCAAGGGAATTTTGGTTCAAAGTGTACATCGTAACAAAACAGTAAGTATTATCTGAAAATAAACATCCAAATAGTTAAGACAATATAATAATAACATTGAAGGGATATTAAATTATGTTTATAACAGTTTTGAGTGTTGTGTTGATATGTTTATTTATGTTTCATTGTGTTCCATAAATAATGTTTTCGTAATATAAACCTAATCAGTGATTGGATAAACACATTAATTGTACCTGAAGGTTTATAAATTTACCACAACACTTCGTAGAACTATATAAACCACAACACTTCGTAGAACTATATAAACCACAACACTTCGTAGAACTATATAAACCACAACACTTCGTAGAACTATATAAACCACAACACTTCGTAGAACTATATAAACCACAACACGATGGAAAAAAATAATTACTCGTTTTTTATCTTCGTCTTTTGTATCTTTTTTTTTATGCGACGCGAACTTTGTATTTTTTTTTTTTTTACATATAAACTCGGGATTTATTTTTTGTCAATGTTATTTTTTCTCGTAAGGTTTCTAGTAACACGAAAGGAATAAACGGAGGGAGGACGATAAGCCTTGGCGTGCCTTTGCTACCCACAACACAGCGGCGGTCATTCGGGATGTGTCTTAACGTTCGCAGCAGTCCTTGGTGGAAAAGATCTGTCGAGTATGATGATAAAAAGATCTGTCGAGTATGATGATAAAAAGATCTGTCGAGTATGATGATAAAAAGATCTGTCGAGTATGATGATAAAAAATAACACTTTAATTTGAGAGTTATGACTCACCTGTATGTTAAAAGTGATCGAATAATTATTAACCAGATTTGAATAACATGACAAAGCGAGCGTAATTACAGAGATTAGTATAAACAATCTACAAGGATAAACCCGAGTACTGTATATGAATTAATGACTATATTCATACGTTATATTCGTGTTATATTTCGGTTTGAAAATAAATGTGATCGGTATTTCAGACGCGGGACGAATAAACATATGTTCGGGGTAAATTCAAAACTAGTATTTGTCATTCAGAGGAAAATAAACACGATGAAAAAAAAGGATTTTTTTTTTTTTTTTTTTTTTTATTGGACATTCCTACATGTGTAAGGTGAAGCGCAGAAGCGTTTACAGCGCCCAACAGGGAAGCGTGCTAAGTTCATGCTTGCCTTTGTCTCATGAGTTAAGGGCGTAGAAGCCTGAAGAGTCAAGGGCGTAGAAGCCGGGAGAGTTAATGGTTTATGTCCTCAAGTTATTGGAAGCTCCAACAACTCCCTGAATACGAATTCGCAACTTTCGACTTACAACAGGTACCTTCTTTACTGCTAGGTGAACAGGGACTAATGGGGGCTAGGAAGTATGTCCAAACAACTTCCACCGGCCCGGGAACTACTGTAGGTCAGTGGGAGTTTCAGTTGCCGAGGAAGACTATGACTGAGTGGCTTTCAGTTATAAAAATAGACATTACCACATATTTACTGAGTTGTATATACCAGACATGTATCAGCAAAAGACTGTATAATGGGTTTCAGTTGAGGAAGTGGAGATGGAATTACCAGAAATTGAGTTTGACTACCAGATTGTTAGGTCAGGATTGGTGTTAATAATTATGTGTTTGGTAACCAGTTCTTGACAGTCTTTCCTTGGATTATTTTCTTTCTTGTTAAAGGTTTAGTTAATCTATTTACGCACTATCAAGTCCCAAGGCTTTTATAGACGAGTCCCTAATACCCCGCTTCTTATTTTTACCCATTAATATTCTAATGTTATATTCACCTTCCTATATTAACACAGGTCTTCATATTGTACAAAATATTATTTTAAAATGCACGAATAATAAGTACACCTCCCTGCAAACACTGAAATACTCTAAAGCTTACAAAGATGATGATTAATTTTTTATCGGTCTTAATGTTATCGTTTCCCAATTATTTCCTATAGATGCACTAGATAGTTCCTTATATTGAAGTAAGTGACATCAGGCGAGAGAAAATTAATCTATTTATCTCCTAAAACACACAAACGCGTCCACCCGTCGACTCGGTTGTAGGTGAGACTACGGGACTAAATCATTTATAAAATAACCAAACAAGGTTAACCTAACGATGTTGTTATTATTATTAGTTAATTGAGTTAGGTTAGTTAAGGTTAGCTTGATTCGTGTCGTCTTTCATAAAAGATTTAGCACCGCAGTCCGCAGTCATTCACATGGAGGGTTGGACGCTGCCAGTCGTTGTTGTCTCGTGTTGACAGTAAGTTTAAATTTGTTTGTTCTAATGTCTGACACTATTTCCTTCGATGAGAAATGATTTTCAATAATTTTGAATGAAAAGAATTTGGAAAACACTAAATATTAGACAATTATTCAAGGATTTGTTCTGGGAAGTCAGTTGTTTACATCGAAGAATAAATTGTGCTCGTAAGATATAAGAACCCATAATAATCCATAATATTAATTTAATCCCGTTAGTTGGCGAGCCTCAGAAACAGAGGTGAAATACAAGGTTAAAAACGTAATGTGTCGGTAAGTAATTTAGTAAATTTTTATAAAAAAGTCTTATATTAGTGGAAAATCCCTTGGGGTGGGCGGGTGGGGGCCAATATGTATGTGAATAAATTACAACGCGGAAAGTTTACGCTGGCAACGTCAAATAATTGTTAATATAATGTTTTAGTAGTCGTAGTAGAGTTAGTAAAGTAGTGATATAAGTTTATTTTATTTTGAAATATACTGGATGGTGATAAAACTTGTTCTTATATATTTTGTCACACGGCTGGCAAAAACTTCTCGGAGTGTTCGCTACTGAAGGATGGCACACGTTCCCACATTAAAATTAACGAGTTCTTTTGTTGCGACATCTCGATGCCACAACAGAAGTGTGTGACTCTTAACAGTAAACAAACGTCTTGGTGTCTTCACTAATTTTTTTTTTTAAATATTAAATAATATACGAATCGGCCGTCAGCGGTTCGGTAATTGTGGTGGAAGTTTTTAGGCAGTTTTGTCCGATGATTGTCTTCACCTCTATTCATTTTCATGTAAATATTTATTTTTCGAGATATAAGCGAGTTAAGATATAGGTTTGGTTAGGTTAACACATAGTTTCAGCCATTTTTGTATTTTTCCACAATATAATAAACTATCCTGTAATAAAATCCGTGAAAACTGGATATTTTTAAACTTGCCTTTCAGTGAAAAACAGCGGACGGTCATGATCCGAATAATTACCAAATAATGATTTCGTAAGACGAGCTACAGTATGTTGAAGGAAGATATAAATTTTAGTATTACTCTAAATTCCTCACAGCAAACTTCAATTACTGTGTGTCTCATTCTGTAAGACAAGAGTTATCGTCCTTTTCATACTGAATGGGGTTGATGATACCAAAATCACATTGACTGAAAATGTATGACACCTTCAAATATATTTCGGTGTGTGACTTGACCCTGAGTCTGTCCTATAATCTGTGTTATGTACATTTTGACGTTTAATATGTTAATTGCAGAGAGAGAGAGAGCGCGCTATTTGAATGTTAGGTTAGGTTAGTTTAGTTTAGCGTTAAGGTGATTCGAAAAAAAAAATAAAAATAAATATATATAATGTTTTTTTGTGCGTTCTTAGTTGTTCACTATAAACAGTAGCGCAACGATTTGTTAAATTCTCAGATAAAAAAAGAAATATTAATGAGCGCTGGTCCATCTACAATTTGACCTTAACTTTGACATGTAAGTAATGTATCCCCTGTAAATACTGACAGTCCATATTAACATTGTAAAAGCTTAGCCAATTTGTTCAGTCACCCAGAAATATATTTTCACGCTTTCTACGAGCACTCTGAGGCTCCGTTTTCTGATGTCTGCGCTATGTGACCAGGGGAACTATTGGCAAATGTAGTCGCTCATACACGTTAGTCATTACTTCAAATTCAGTTGTAAATGAAAGACCATAGGCCGAGAATGAAGCGACTATTCATATTAGTGCATTTAGTTTGTTTTTGGAATCCATCAAACTTATTGTGCAGAATCCAACATTGTAATGACATGCGTGTCTTTGTCCTGGGTTCAATTCTCGACCCAGGTCAGGTGTGAAACGGGTGCTATCTACTGTGACCCTGCCAAATATTAGAGTTTTTCCGGGCACTCTGGTTGCCTCTTGTACTAACTCTGGACAATAAAGGTCATTATTTAGAAGAGACCAACCGCCTGATTGGCTACTAAGCTGATAAATGGTGTGATAAAATATATAGCAGCCTCGTACGATGACTTTCTTATAACTATGAGAGGAAAATTCTCTTGTAGTTGAGTTAAGTTAAAATATGACAATAACGTCAAAAATTACAATTGAAATAATAGTGAGTGTTTAGCCTTATAAGAGAGCGTCAAGAAATACTTTGTGCCATAGTTTCGGTGTAATTATTAGATATTTTTTAACTTTATTGTGGTGTAAACGAGTTGGGAATTCATACATGTTCGGTTACGAGGAATATTCATCGCAAGGTCATTAGAGAATCTGAGTCTGGGTTAAGCCTCGAGTTAGCTGTTGTTAGCTGAAAGTTGGTGATGGTTTACCTTTGGTGCCGCACAGTTTGTGAACTTGACTGCTGTGTGAGAACTATAA